AGAGAGATCTTAACCCTAGAGAGGAAGAAGGAAATGTCTTCCCCCTGAGGCTGGCAGGCTGGACCCAGTGGACAGAGACAGGTGAGAAGGAAGGAGTGAACAGCCGCAGGCCCTGACCTCAGAGCCAGTTTGGGGTGGGGGACGAGAGATGGGGTGGAGGGAGCACAAAGACAAGGCACCAACAGGAATGCTGTACTGCCCCATTGGTCCAGCAGAGGACCAAGATGAAGATACACCGGTGGGTGCCGAGCTACAGTCCGAGAGTGACTTGGTTGGGAGCTAGGAGCAGGGTGCTCAGTCTTATCCTAGTTGACCATCTTCCTTGAGCCTCCCGGCCAACCATCCCTGAGCTGGCCCCAGCCCTCTGGGGGTTCCCCCCTCAGGCACCCCGACCCTGTGTCCGCAGGTACATTATCTGCAGTGCCCCATTGCCTTGTGGTGTGGCCTCAACCACTCCCTGGTGCTGAGCCAGGCCTCCGACTTCACCAAGGAGCTGCTGGGCTGCGGCTGTGGGGCCGGAGGCCGCCTTCCTGGCTGGCCTAAGGGAAGCGCCTCCTTCGTCAAACTGCACGTCAAGGTCAGGCAATGATGATCCCAAAGCCAAGGGGGGCAGGTCCCCTTGGGGCTCCAGTCAGGGCTTCTGCAGGGGGCCTCTTGCCACATCCCGCCTGGCACCACGACTCCCTCCCCCCCTTCCCGGCGCTCACTGACCTTACACAACCCTGGCGCTCGGCCAGCAGTCAGTCTACTTGCCAACCGACCCGACCCAGGGCTGGTTTGAGAGGGAAGACCCGGCAGTCCTGAGTAGCCAGGATGTCCTGGGACCCCCTGCAGTCAGAGCCCACAGTGGCCCTTTCTCCTCCAAGGTCCCTCTCTGTGCCTGCTCCCTCTGCTCCACGAGAGAGTGCCTGTACATGCTGTCCAGTCACGACATCGAGCACCAACTCACCTATCGGGACCTGCCCACCCACAGGGTGATGGGGACCCCCAAGCCCAGCCTCAGGGCAGAGCCCCCCCAGGACCCTGGGGGCTCAGCTTGGGCCTGTGAGGAGTACCTCAGACAGATCCACAGCTGCCCCACGCTGCAGGACCGCATGGAGAAGATGAAGGAGATCGTAGGCTGGTTGCCCCTGATGGCCTCCCAGAAGGACTTCTTCTGGGAGGCCCTGAACATGCTACAGAGGGCCGCTAGTGGGGCTGACCCAGGCCCCTCGGACCCTGAGAGCTGACCTCTCCCCCAGCCTCCTCCCAGAGGGGAATTCTGGCCCCGGGCCAGGGACTGAGGCAAGCCGGAGTGGTAGCAATGAACACTGTGCGCATGTGAGGGGTGTGGGGTGGGGACAGGGACTGCTAGACATGCCAGGGCAGGGCAGAGAGCTGTTTTATGTAATGTTCAGGGGGGCTCCCCAGGTGGAGCCCCCAACCTGACTATCATGGACAAGAGATTTGATGAGCAAATAGAATAAAAGGTTGACTGAGGCCCGGTTTGGAACCCTGTGCCCAGGGAGCACAGTGGGGAGTTCAGGCAAACCAACAGGCTGTGGTTTCTACCCATCGG